GCTCCACTGTTTATATACGGCTAGAATTCTGGTCTCCTAAGGCTGGGTTTGACCATGGTTCGGTCTCTTTTAGCCTCTGACAGTCTAAATGGTAAGGGGTATTGATCTCGCTATATTAAGTGCCTGCATTTAACCCTCTTTTCCCTCACTGCTCACAGATGAACGCCTGTGCTGCATGCAGCAGTCAAAGCTGAAGACTGATGGCAGCCAACGAAACAAAAGCAGAATAAAGTTGTCATCGTCCAGCTGAAAGAATGTATTCACACCTGCTGACTGCGGCTGCTTTGAGCTGTTTGTCAGAGAGAACGGGAACATGCTGCTGTAGGAACAGCAGTGTCAGCCAGCCCTCTGGTGACAGAGGCAGACCGGGAACTTTGGGAGTCAGGGTGGGGAGGGGTAGAGGTGAGGAGGAGTAGGGTTGGGGGGAGATAGGGCCTGGAAGGGAGCACTGGCAGGAAACACACTTGGTTCATCTCTCAGAATCAGGACAGAAAACACCACAGGACTTCCAACTTCAAAGCACCTGACCAACTGCAGAGGGACCAAGCCTGTTGGCAGAAGCCCACAGCTCCTTCCTGGTTCCTCTGGCCTCAGTGTTTGTGGGCAGACAGTGTGAGTTGAACTTAAACTGTCTTTCTTGCTCTCTAGCAGAGGGTACTCCAGCACCCAGAGGGAATCCTACAGCAAACAAGGGTAAGGATGTGAGCACAGGAAAAAAACACTGCCCTAGACAGAAGCCTATCCCCGAAGGGACACAGTGATAGAGCTAGGGACCCATGGGCTCAAAGGCAGCCAGGGGCCCGACTAGAGAAGACAGGAAGCTACAGGAAGCAGGAGAGAAGCTCCCAGCTCTTGGGAGGCTGGGGAGATGCCTAGGGCATGAAATAGTTAGACAGCCAAGGGCTATCAGGCAAGCACAGACACACAGGAGACAAAAATCACAGACATTCCTAGAATCTACCAAATGTCTGAGGTGGGAAAATTGCTCACTTTTCCCCTATGCACTCCAAAAATAAGAACATTCGACGGGGAGCTTATTTCCCCCTACTTCCCCTGCAGATAAAGTTCACTCAGCACCTCCTCAAAACAGCAGCTCTACGAGCAAGCTGAGTCTGGAACTCCCCTTTCCAGGGCCTCATAAAACAGTGATTTAATGACTCCAGAGACATAACTTTATTGTTACCGTTTTTTCCTCATGTAGGAACAACTGTCGGGTGGACAATGAAAAGGCAGGCTGAGAATGATCTTGTCACAGGTAGTTAGTCCAGAAGGCCAAAGGGAGCGAGGGCAGAGGCATCTGAAATCCTACCAGCCCAAGATCTGAAAGCTTAGAACAGTGTGTCCAGGTTCTCAAACAAACAGCTAATCCACACCCAGGCTTCCCAACTGAAATGAGAGGGTGTGCCATGGAGTACAAACACAGTCACACCCTAGGGGATTTCCTCGGAGGGGTCCCCTGAAGGCTTTTCCAGGGTCTACTCGTTTATTCGTCTACCCTACTACCTCAGTACGGGCCACGTCTGTGTTATCTCAAAACTATAAAAGTTTAATAGCTCATCTGTTTGGTGCATTTCCTGAATTCAGAGCCTTGAGGTAATCTGTAAGGTCATAAACACTGGGTTTTTCATTGGCAAGATCCCTTTATGTCTAAACCACAGGCACCATCCCCTTGACCTAGAAAGTTCTCTTCCTGACCCACCTATTGGATCCTTTCTTCTCTGAAGCTTGATTTCTCCATCCTCCAAAGACTATTTGAGAAAATCTTCCCAAAGCTCCCTCCTCCTCCACTGTGTTTTTCTTATCACATACTTTATTACCACCACAGCTTCTTCCGACCACCACAGATTCTCCCTACCATCAGATTCTCCCACTGTCTTTGCTGTCACATACTTCTTTATTAACACCACAGCTTCATCCGACCACCACAGATTCTCCCTACCACCACAGACTCTCCCTACCATCCCAGCTTCTCCCTACCATCACAGACTCTCCCCTACCATCACAGCTTCTCCCTACCATCACAGCTTCTCCCACTGTCTTTGCCATTTAACTATAACCTGGGCAGATTCAATTCTGCATTTGTCCTGTTTCTTAAGAGCATGGTTTACAATCTGCAATTGTCCACTGATGGCATCAGCCCTGAAGCCTTAGGGAACCTGGTGAACGTATGCATAGTTATCTCGATGACAAGTGTGCAACTGAATAAATAGCCAAGCTAGCAACACAGGAACTTAGGGCTTTTTAAAAGCATATCTTCATTAGCTCTGAAAACAAATTCAATTGCAAACACAGGCAGACAGATACAAGATAGGGACTGTCACTGGGGAGGAGAGACACAAGCAAAGCACCCAAGAGCACCTTAGGTCACCTGAGTGGAAATGGTTGATGCAGAAGTCTGTGTATGATTCAAAGGCATTCAATCAACGTTCACTGTGAATCTTCATTGTTGTAGTGTCATTTAAATGGTAACTTGAATTTTAGTAGCACATATTGCCAGTAGACTTACTGGGGAGCAATAAACTGTCCTCTTTGGCAGTGAAATGGCTCATCAGGCAATACCTGGCACTAAGCTTGCTGATCTGAGCTCTGTCCTCAGACCCACAAGTTGGAAGGACAGAGCAGTCCCCAGGTTGCTTATGCTTTGACCCAGTGGTCCTCAATCTTCTTAATGCTATGACCCTTTAATATAGTTCTTCGTGTCATGGTGACTCTGAACCATAAAATTATTTTCATTGCTACTTCATAACTATAATTTTGCTACTGTAATGAATCATAATGTAAATATCTGATATTTAGGATATTTGCAGGATATCTGATAGGCAACACTGTGAAAGGGTCATTTGACCCCCAAAGGGGTTGAGGCCCACAAGTTGAGAACCATTCACTACAAGTCTGATCTCTAGCCCACCCTTCATATTTAAAACATGATTTTGTTACAAATAAAAATTGTATATAATTAAAATGACTTAAAGAAAAGCTGAAGGGAAATAGATGTTAGAGACAGGATAATCTGAGAGATCTATTTATACCACATACCCTCAGTCCATTGTGCCCACAAATTCTGCACACAATTCAAACTGCTGATAAAGACAATTTAAAATCTGTGACTATGCTGAGCATATAGCAACTTTCGTGTTATTGTTCACTAAATAAAACAGTACAGCAAGTGACCCACACATCACGCGACTTGTCATCCGGAGATGAGAAGAGCATATGAAGCTGGAGACACACCTCAGCGGTGGAATGCTGGTTCTCATGTCCTGGGCTCTGGGTTCCATCCCCAGCATGGTCAAGAACACATCCAGTACATGCATACACTCAAACACACATACAAAATACGAGAAGTGCTGGCTAATTCCAAACGCTTTGCTATTTCGTTACTGGAATCAAATGCGTGTACTTTTTTTCTTTTTTCCATTTTGCTGTGTGGTCAGGCAGGTTTTTTCCTGGGCAGCTAGCGGTTCACTGGAGACCCAGTTTTTTAGTTCAGACAAGGTAGCTCCATGTCTGACCTGTTGAACACTTCATTAAGCTTAAAGTAGTAAATTTCACTAGGTTGTAGTGGCTTCTTTTCCCTCGGCCACTCTAAGAGACCCATTCTCAGAGAGAATGGGAATAAAGTAGAATGTATCTTTACTAGAATCAAGTTCTGCTCCAACTGGGAACGCATTCGCACAGTTTCTGTTCTGATTCCAGCTAAGCCACCTTTCTCCTCTCTCTTCCCCCCAGATCCCCAGGGCAGTGACATCCACAGAAGGCTAAGACTGATGTTTAACGAGATCTAAAGCTGCTGAGCCGAGAAACCTCACTGACATTTCTCTTCCTTCAGAGGAACTCCCAGGCACACTAGGCGTTTCAAGTGTTGGATGTATAAGCTTCATTGCCCTGAACAGCTAGATCTTCCAGGACAGAAATGAACATTTAGCTTCATGCTTTAAATGTCTGAATGATGTGGAAAAGAAATTACTCTTAGGAACCCCAATCGAGCCCCTAAGTTGCCAGCAGCCCAAACTCTATCACACACTAGCGGCTCCTTAGTGCGGCGGCGCGGGGTACAGGATGGACCCGAGGGGGCTCAGGGATCTGGGAGCTCTTCCTGAGTGGGGATTTGGCTGCAGGGAGGGGGTTCTCCACAACCAACTTTTGCCTCCTTCTCTAGGCTGCTGATGGTGTCTGCAGAGCTCCAGAAAGACCCTAGATTCTGAGTACTGCTTACTCCTGTGATCTCATTTCCATTGCCACTGGGCCCCAGACCCATGTCAGGAGGAAGCAAGGGTTGCTAGGCTTGTTCCTGGCATCAATAATGGCTCAAGGCGCACCACTACCCTACTTTCAACCATTGCAAAGACATATTTCATCCTAACATGGTCAAAGGTTTCTAAGCACAAGCAATTCCTGTCGATCCATGAGCTGTTTGTAGGGAGGAGGGAAGAAAGGAAGACACGAAAAGGAAAGCTTGTCACCTTTGCCAAAGAAACTTTCAAATTCTACCTTCCTGGACTTTTAGGATATCCCTCCTACACCTCTTCTTCCTCCTAGGGGAGATGGAGGAAAAACTAAGACAGAGGAAAGTGTGAAGGCCAAGACAGGCACTCCCCGCTCCCAGGAATTCACACGGATTGTAAGGAGACCCCCATGGGAGTAGTGTTTAGGAAGGGGTCACTAACAAGGTCTGTAGATACGATCTTCTTGAGTCACGTTAGCCACAGGCAGGAGGTACCTACTAGCTGCACCCTGAGAACCAAAGCACCATCAGAGCTCCGCGCTCTGCAGATCCCCTGTCTGAGTCGGGGTTCCATAAACCTCTTCCTTCCAAGTCCCAGGATCCCTCCAGTTGTCGTTCCCTCGCTCCACGCTCCAGCTGGGGTCTCCGCACCTACTCACCCCCTCACCCGAACTCCCAGTCTCGGCTAGTGCCTGTGGGGCGGCTGTGCCAGGAGAACTGGACCTTGGTTGGGGGGGGGGGGGGGGCGGCGGGCGACGGTGGTGCGGGTCCTTACCTGCAGCGGGACGAGCAGCAAACCTAGCGCTTGTAGCAGCACTGACAGCGGGCGGCGCCGCCAGGCGCGCGAGGCCATGGCGCGGTGCGGGCCAGCTGGGCGCACGGCCTCTGTGGCCCCCGGGGCGTCACCGCCCTCCACCCGCCTGGTCCCGCCCCGCGCGCCCGGCTCCGCCTCGCACCTGCCCCCGCGCCGCCGTCCGAGTCCGCCAGGGGGTGCCGGAGCGTGGGCTGCTGGGGTTAGGAGCACCTGTGGCTTTGACAGTCCACGCGCGCTCCAGACCTACGCTGTGCGCCGCCCTGCTGTCCCCAGGCACTGAGCTCTCGGGGTGCAGCTTCCCGCGGGCAGGCCCTAGACAACCCCACCAAGGTTGCCATTCACCTTTCTTGGACCCTGCCTTCCTGCCAGCCTGCAGAAGGTGCATCCCTCTTGGGGTTTCCTTAACTACAATTAAAGAATTTGCACAATCTAGTGTCCACACCCCCCCTCCCCAATCCTTTACACAATCCGAATCTTTCCCTTATCCTGGCATTCTGGCTGCTTCCAGCAGCTGCTTTCTCTTGGCTCTCCTCGACCTTCACTCCCTCTGCCACACCCTGAGCAAGCTCCCCAGGTAGACACTTGGCACCATGCTTGACGAAGCCCTTCACCAGAACCGCCAAGTCACTGCCTCTAATACCGAACTAGTTTAATGTCTGGGATGTGGGATGTAGCAATCCTGTTGTGTTTGTGGCTTCTTATTGCTGCTTTCCGGGTTTGTTTTCCTCCAAATTCCAGGTCAGTGTTGGCTACACTGGTACACCCCTGCCCATGTTGTAACAGTGAGAGGAAGATCCTTGTCTCCAGTCAATAGAAACACTGTTTTCAATTCCTTGGGTGCCAGCTTTTCGCCCACCATCTTAATGACTTTCTGTCTACTTCTGAGAAACTGTGGACAGTTCTAACAAGGAAGAGTAGGTTTGTCTATTGTTCCTTACAGTTCTGTCAGCTTTTCACGCCCTTGAACGTCTTTAGGACCTAAAGATGTAGGATTATGTCTTGTAAACTGACCTTTTATCATTACTACATTCCCTTCTTGATAAAATTTCACATTCTGGTCTACTTTACATTTATGAGTAGCTGTGACGCCTTTCTCATGAATAGTATTTAAACAGCATAACTGATTCTGCTACATGTAAGCTGCTGAAGATGGCAGAACACACGCCGTGTTGACCATCAGCACCCCCCTATTGGAGCACTTATGCTATGCATGTTTGAGATCGCCATAGATGCTGATTGAGACTGCTGATGGCTTTCTATTTGTTATACCTTTATTCCTTTTTTATTTTTAAATTCCTTTGGATTACTTTAAAACGATACTTTATTTTATGAATAGCAAAACAAACTGTGTGTTAAATGATGCTACAGTAGAATGATTTGATATCATTTTAAAACAGAAAAGAGAGGGAAATTTTCAGGTTGCAAAACCCTTTGGGTTATTTTTTTAAGGAGTCCATTTTGCTCCCCATCCTTAGCCTACTTTATGTGTATCATTGTTTAATTGTGTGTGTGTGCACACTTGTGTATTCATGACTGCCTGTGTGTCTGTGCGCATGTTGGAGGCCAGAGGTCAATGTTGAGTGTCTTTCTTAATTACTTCTCCATCTTACGTTTTTGATGAACTCTCACTGAACCAGGACCTCACCAGTTCTGCTAGACTGATTGGCCAGCAAGTCCTAGGGACCCTTCTGTCTTCTCACAATGCTTGTTTGACCTTTAAATTCCCTGCTGTACCACCTGGTTGGTTTACTGCCCAGTTGTTTTTATGTTTTCTGGAAATTAATCTGTGTGTGTTGTTTAAAAAAATTGAAAAAATAGAAATTATTTGATAAAACAATTCCATGTCTAGGAATTTAACATGTTAACACAGAGAGGGAGGGCACTAAACTATATACTATAGCATTCTCATAAAACCGCACACAGAAAAAATGTGAAGAGCAGTAGAGAAATGTTTGGCAACACTGTGCTGTATCATCATTGGTAATAGTTAAAAAACTTTTTTTTTGGAAGGATTGTCCACATGGAATGTAAGAGACGTGACCTACAGAACAATTCACCTGCGTTTGTCAACAACCACAACTGTGTTTTTATTTACTATAGTGAAGGGAGCTTCTGAGAGAGAAACAGCAGCAAGAGCTGAGCAAACTACACCTGGTGTCTTCACCACCGCAGCCTTGAGAAGTGTTCTACAGTGACAAAAGAGGCCCAGAAAGGCTCAGAACTGCCTCGCTAGGAAGTGAGTTTTAATATCAGGGGAGTTGCACCGGAGTGGGGGGTGGGGGAGAAACTCATTACTTTAATTTTGATGATTTCAAAGTGCAAATGCTCCTTACTGATAATGTGGTTACATGAATGTAGCAAGCTTTCTTGCCAGGCTATCTTTTGTGGGATTGCCAGCTCCGTAATAATGATGTGGAGACTTGATATTAATTAAGAAAGCGTGGCCTTAACTTAGATTTTTTTTTCCAACTAGCTTTTATAATTCAACCTGCCTCTATTAATCTACATACGGCCACATGGTTCTGTACATATGACCTATTTCTTCAGAGTCCCTGGGGAAATCTGTGAGCCTAGATTTCTCCTCCTCTTCCTCTCTTCCCCCTGAAATTCTGCATGTCCTCTCCTGCCTAGCAGAAGGCACCTTAGACAGAGACACATCTTTGCAGGGTACACAAATACTCTGCAACACACAAAGATGAACTCACGAGTTGGCAATAATCCAGAAAAGTGGCCAGATGCCATAGCTTAGGAACACAACACACTGCAGAGTACTCCTGGTTCCCATCTTGTTTCCAGGTTTGCGCAAGCTCTGGTTCAGCTACTGCAGAGTAAGAGGAGAGTACGCCATACCTCCTGAATCAGGAGGATCAGGAACCAACATTCTCAGTGTGGTTTGGATGGATGTTATTATTGTGCCGTGACAAAGCTGGAAAAGTGGAGTTTAACTGCCCCAAACCAGGAACCAATTGACATTACACCGAATTTACCCTGCTCGTCTACAATTTTTAAAAGGCATTTTTACCTTATTTATAGATATGTGTATATGCTTGCTAAGTTTTATGTGTAATATGTGCAAGTGCCCATGGAGTCCAGAAGATGGTGCTGGATCCCCTGGAACTGGAATTACAGGTGGTTGTGAGAAGCCTAATATGGGTGCTGGGAACCCATAACCAGGCCTCTTGACAAGGCCAGTGAGCCCCCTTAACTGCTGAGCCGTCTCTCTAGCCCCCCTTAACTGCTGAGCCGTCTCTCTAGCCCTTACAATCTGTATTTTTAAACACAGTGTCTAAAAATAAACCGAGGCTTTTCCGTCCAACCTGGTCCTGCAGCTGCTTCCAAAACAATCACCCAGAGGCTTAATATTACTTATAAAAGTTTTGCCGATGGCTCAGGCTTATTACTAGCTACCTCTTATATTTAAATTAACCCATTTCTATTCATCTAATATTGCCACATAGCTGTGCTGTTACAGCTGGTGTTACCAGTCTGTTGTTCCTTAGGTAAATGGCTGGTGTCTTCTAACTCTGCCCTCCTTCTTCCTGTATTCAGTTTGGCTTTCCTGCCTAGCTCTATCCTGCCTTGCCATAGGCCAAAGTAGATTTATTTATCAGCCAATGGGAGCATCACATATCCCCATCATACAGAACGACATCTTACAGCAGTCTCATGATGTTATCCTGGAACTCGATGTGCAGTCTAGGCAGGGCTCCAATTTACAAAGATCTACTTGCCTCTACCTCTTGAGTGTTGGGATTAAAAAGGTGTGTGCCACCATCTCCTGAGTCATCTGCTCCCACACCTATGTTCCCATCTACCTAAATTCAAGAAAAGGGGATGAAAGATTGACACCCGTTCTTCCCCCACCCAAACAGCAAGAGTTCCAGGAACTGTAGTTTTTCATCAAGACTTTGGGGTTTCCAGATTGTTAGGGTCAAGGATCCTTATAGAATTGAGATCTGAAGACCTGACTCATCACTTGTATTGAGTAAATGTCTCTCTTCAGATCCCAGGTCAGAGATGGGGTAATGTGGGAAGACTCCAGCGGCCCTCTCCCCTTTCCCATAGTGGTCAAAGTCAACCTGTAGTCAGATAATCACCCAGATGTAAATGAAAAGGCACTTAAAATGGTTTTGTTTTGTTGTTGTTGTTTGTTTGTTTTTTGAGACAGGGTTTCCCTGTGTAACAGTCCTAGTTGTCCTGGAACTTTTTTAGACCAGGTTGGCCTCAAACTCACAGGAATTCACCTGCCTCTGCCTCCCGAGTGCTGGAATTAAAGGAAAGGCGTGCGCCACCACCACCCACTTTAAAAATGGTTTTTAATAGAAGAAAACTACAAAAAGAAGTTAATCTCCAACCTTTGTGTTCTCCCCACTCTGCCCCTTTCTTCCCCACTCTTAGCCCCTTTCTGAGGTACAGCAGGCTAGAGTCCCCTTCTGTTAGGAAATGATGACTCTTTGGAGTTGGGGCTTTGGTGTCCCTTCAGAGTTGGTCCTCATCCAATTTGTAGTCCACTGAGAGGACAGGAAAAGTGCTCTCTCCCAGTCTCCTCTAGTGATTTCTTGGGCCTCTGCTCCCTCTCTTGTCTTTTACTCCAAAAAAAGAAAAGAAAAAGTATGTGCTGTAATGTCTACCCCCCGCAACCCCCCGCTGCTTCCAAGATAGACTTGATGCAGTGAGACTGGCTATGAGCAAATTGCTGCCATTGGTAACAAAATAATGGGGTTGAAGACCACACACACACACACACACACACACACACACACACACACACACCTCCTTTTGCATGTTTCCATGTCAGCAGTGTAGACTTGGTTCGTGGAGTTAAATCCTAAGAAGTGTAAGGACAACCACAGTTGCAAGGGAAGCCCTACCAAGCCATTTAACCTGTGCTGTCTTGGATGTGGATGGAGCAGTGGTTGGGGACTGGATAAGACTGGTTCTGAGAAAAGGAACTGACAGTGGAAGAAGGTACTTTTCACTGTGGCACTGCAGAAACACCAAGGCTTGCTCCTGGCACGTTTCCAGCCTTGCCCTCTTCTATTTTCAAATAAGATTAAGGGACTGAAAACTTCTGCTTGGAAAGCCCCAGAGGTGAGTGTGCTCGTTTTGGAAGCGTGTTTG